CGCGCGTATGTGACTTGACTGTGGGGGCCGATGAGGTGCTGGATATATAGAGAAATGGCTGGGTCAGAGCGGGAAAACTGAGCGGGCACCCCAAGATTCTTAACCTTGACAGGCTGCCAGGGAAAAGCTTCATATTGGGGTGGAAAAAACCAGAGTTCTTAAGTTGAGGAAAGGGGCTTAGGATTTGTATTTGGGAAGTTGAACGGAGGTTTTGAATGAAGAGGAGCCTTTTAACCATACAGACCAAGGTCCAGAAATCTGTGAGGACTCTGTAAGGAACGATGGGAGGAACTGGACATGGGTTCAGAGAGAACACGGGTTCTAAATCAGGAAGGCTGGGGGGGGGTGTGAATCAGGGTACAGGCAGCTGAAGGGAGTTCAGAATCCAAGGTAAAGGGATCAGGATAAAAAAAAAACTGGGAGAAAGACCGCAACACCGAGCAAACGTCCTATCTGTGGGCTAATCTCACCTGGCCTCAGGCCCCAACCCCAACCCCCTCGTTGCCTCCCTTCTTCACGACTCAAGAGGACCGCGATTGCTGGGCTGGGTTCTCAGCAGCCGTACTCTTTCCTTCTCCAGGAGGAAATGCCAGCGCGGCAGCTTAGACGACCCCGCCTCTTAGATTAATATACCACCCACCGCCTCAGGACTCCTTACGCATGCGCAAGTGTTAACGGTCCAAAAGAGTCCACCGGCTTTCCCAACAAAAGCGCCGACCCAGAGACGATCATGCGCATGCGCACTGGAAGAAGGTCCCGCCCCTTGCCAACACATCATCCAATCACCAACTGGGTCCACAGCATTCAAGGGTTCCTCCCAGGTCTCTGCATCTCCTCCCCTAACAGAAGCACTGTGCCTCTTGGTCCCACCCTTTGCACCACACACTGGCCCCCTACGTTTGCCCAGTGGGTCTCTCTTCTGTCAGTCCCCTACTCAAGTCCCCTCTACTTAGATCTACAGACAACTTCAGCGCCTAGCCTAGCAACCATTTAGGTCAGTATTAAGTAGATTTGGGGGTGGGGTCTAATGGCAGTAAGTGCTAGACTTCTGCTAAATTCATCCACTGGGTAACCAAGGAAACTAAAGGGCCAGGAGATTACACGCTGTAGGGGGAGTAAAGTAGCTGCCTGGCATGTGACTATACATTCCCATTTACCACCTCCCAAACCCTGAACATTAGCTTCTCTACATCTTTTCTACATTATTGCCAGAGAAACATTTACTATGGGTCTGATAAAGAGCAGAAAAAAAAGTACAGCTGGTACCTCATAGCAGGACATACCTTGGGGCTTGTTTGCCTCTCACAGCATATCTGAGAGGAAGATGTCAACATTCACATTTCACAGATAAGAAAGCAGAGGCAGACATAAACCATGAACCAGACAAGGGCTGTCTGCCAGTAAACGGGAAACGCAGAATCTGGGCCTGGGAGCCTGACTAAAAACACCCACGCAGAAACCTGGGATTTAGCTCAGGGGTGTAGTGCCTGCCTGGCAAGTGTGAGATCCTGAGTTTGATGCCTGGTACACACCCCACAAAACAAAGCCTATGTTTTTGCTAGTGCCAGCTTGGAAATCTAGACACCCTTCTCCTCCTCAGTGACCAGCCTTCCTCACCACAATACCTGCCCCAAACAATAAGATTTTTCTAGGAGGCCTAGATCACACTCTGAGCTCTCCGTGCGTGCATCCAGGTGTGGAACTTTTCCTTGGGGTCAGACCTTGGGACTTGTTCCACTGTCAGATCGCTCCCCTATCAGAGACACTATCACACTCCCACCCCCAAGTCCTTCCTGGTGCCCAGTGGAGCTGCCAGCACAATCAGTTGCTTGTGTTTTCCCTGGCAAGCCCTGGGTCCTTTCTTCCAGGGCTAGAGACTGGGGGGAAGCCACAGTCTGTGGCCTCACCAAAGTGGCAGTGGTGAGCCTGACCGTTCCAGGGCTGAAGTGCCCAGCCTGTCTGTCTCTCCCTGGTCGTGGGAGCTGCCTGGGGTCAATAGACATCAATGACCTGGTTTCTCAACATGCAAAATGGGAAACACAAAAAGACAGGAAAAGACATAAGGATGTGAGGGGGCTTGAACTGATACTTTTTCCAAAATCCAAGGTAAATCTCTGTGCATTTCTCACTTGCTTTGGCATCAGCTCCAGCCAGCAGCCTGCACAGGAAAGGAAGCTAATGCTAGGAGAACTGCAGCACTTACTCCCCAAGGGCCAACATCACTTCTGCCTGGCTGGCTGACTTTCCTCATGTTGCATAGCAACCTCCTCTGTCAGCTGCCTGTTTTTCCTCAGCATTTCCTCTGTATGGTGTCTGCAGTGGGACGTGATCAGACTCAAGAAAAGAGGTCGGAAACAACATTTTCTATGCTATCTACTTCCAATTTTGTATCTCCAATCCTTTCTTTGTCCTATGAATTCTAAATCTGTAACCCAATTGCTATTCTATACTCTCCAAATGGGTATCTCTCAGTATTTTCAAAATAAGCAACTCCTGGACTGAGTCCTTTGTAAATATCCTACTCCCCATCATCTATCTCCTTAAGTTACATCCCTGTCAATATAACTTTCTTAAAGAGATATACTGTTGTCTGTGTAGTTCATTATAGTATCCCTAGTGCGTAGAGCAATACCTGGTACATTTTATATGCTCACTAAATATTTGTTTGATGAATGAATCACTGTCCACCTAATTGCTAAAGCAAGAAACCCAAAAGACACTATTTTGTCCTGTGATAAATTTGCTTATTTCATCATATAAATAATATATATACATTATTAAAATGTACAACCATAATTAAAAATTCAAATATCATCTATGAATTTTAGAAATAAAATTATTCCATATCTTACACCTTGAGATAATTGCTAAGGTTTTATGCTACATTTTCACAAAATACTTTATTCATACATATTTGTTCTCACATCACTGGGATGACCACTGTGTCAGAAATATTTTTAACTGCCTTCTTTCTTAACTTCTACTTTTGCTTCCCAGGCATGCATTGTTAATACCATTTTTATATCTTTCCATTCTCAGTAAATAACGTTTTATTGCTTCACAAAATTATACAGCATATAAACTTTTATGCATCTGATCTTATTTAATAGTAATGTACCTATTTATTCTTTTAAATGGGTGCAACATATTCCATAAGTATGTACTACAATGCTTTCAAACATTACTCAGACAGAAATTCAGTTGAGTTTTAAGATTTTGGGGAAGAGAGAAATATACAAACAATGTTGTAATCCAAATACCCAGGACCATACTTTTAATTTGTAAGTATGTTTTATTTTTATGACAGCACATGCCTAACACATACTCCATATTGCTTTGTATGATAAGACCTTTCCAAATTTTTGCCAACCTGATAATTAAATGAATTTGAACAGTTTTATTAGTAATGGACATCTCAGATTTATTCTGTATAGTGTATGTCCAAGTCTTTAACCTATATTTTGTTTGGGTTGTCAATCTTATTGACTTTCAGAAGTTCTTTATACAGTCCTATAGGTCTTACTGAAAACTCTTGGGGCCAGATGTATTTCAATTTTTCACATTTTAGCAAGGTAACATAGCATATATACTTCATATTACACAACAGTGCCAACTGCAAATGCAACAAAGGTCAGATACTAATTTCTTCACCTGGCCTCGGCAGTAGTGAGAATGCGATTTAGGATCTACCAGCAAGGCAAGCTCCCAAAGGTTAATCTTACAACCAAGCATTCAGTGGAAGAACTCAGAGAACTGAAAAAATGTGTAACAGAAATGCCATGGTTTGTTATGGTGAAAGAATACAGATTAAATAAAAAAAGGGATAATGCATATAAGCAGAGTTTCCAATCTGTACAGGTACGAGTTTCCAGTCATCCTCTATGAAGGAGTCATGTGGCCCAAGCTGACTTCTACCAATAAAACATGAAAACATGCAGAGCTGGGCACAGTGGGGCACGCCTATAATCTCAGCACTTTTTAGGCTGAGGAAGGATGATCACCATGAATTCCTGGGCTACATAGTGAGTAAAAGGCCACTCTGGACTACATAGAGAGCCATCACAAAGAAACAAACACTGCAAAGAGTATTGTCAGCCAGAGAAGTTTGCTCAAGCCTTGGTGCCCAGAAATTTTAATTAAGGCTCAGGCATGGAGAATCTGCATAGCTGACCTCAGTACTTTAGTCTCCAGACTATCCAGAGTCTAAATTAAGACACTGCAGCTGAATCTCCCACCATAAACCATACTGTTAGCATAAACTGTTGACTATGGCTTGAGGCTCCAGGCAAAAAAAAAGCGTAATATTCTAAGGGTTTATAGGTCTTGTGCTATAAAAGGCATTTTTTAATGAACAGTGTTTGAACACTCCGGATCTGGGAAGTCAACCTTTTCACTGTACAGTCCCACTTCCACCTAACACTTTGAAAGGAGGAATTAAAAAAAATCCACATGGGCCAGTGGCACATGCCTATAATCCCAGCACTTGGGAGGCTGAAGCAAGAGGACTGCTGTACTTTGAGATCATCTTGAGCTACCCAGTAAACTCAAGGCCAGCCTAAACTATACAATAGGATCCTGTTTCAAATAACCAAAAAATCCTCCCAAAACAAACAAACAAGAAAAACACATCACTACCAAAAACAACAGTAACAACAAACAGCAATGATGCAATTCACTACTACACCTGTGGTAGAAGCAACAGTCACAAGAAAATGAAATTTCTAGGAAAAGCGCTGGTAACAGAGCGAGTATTCAATGTCTGGTGTTTAGTGTTAGCAGCACTGTTATTCAACCAGCTAACATTAATGGCATGATTTTGAAAATATAGCTGGTTCCCAGATGCTTTTATTAATATATTATTGATTCTACTACTTTTAACATTTTAGAAAATTTGAATTTTGAAGTAATTAGAGATACACATGAAAATGCGATGATATACCTTTCATCTACTTCTAATGGTAATGGTTGTATCTATGCAACTGCAATATGAAACCTAAGTCATGACAATGACATTGATACAACATGCCATATACTAGGTCACTTTAAGGTCTCTTTTTTCACTACAATAGTCAAGATATAAGATAGTACCTCACCACCAAAATTTCCCTTTTTGAAGTTTCACTGAAGGGAGGCTGTGGACTGGAACATAGCAGATGCAAAGGCAGCAGGGAAGAAGCCTCCGAAGCTCCAGCAAGTTAGAGCCTCTAGAGCAAAGGAGGGGAATGTTTCAGTTGTATCACTGAGAAATGACCAGCCAAAGAAGCAGCTGCAGACTTCCTAACAAAACTTCCAAAGACCTCCAAATTTAGATTTGCCATTGCTAGTCAGACAACAAAGAGAGCATCAGCTATAACTATCAAACTGGATCAACTAAGTCTAAAGAAACTATTCCAACTCTTGCTCCAAAAGCCCTTTCACTAGCAGCAGCTTTTAATGAAAATGAAGACAGTGCACCAGAGGAAAATACCTCTAGAAGCAAAGATGAGGATGAAGAATTTTGTAGTTTCATGAGATTAGTTTCCAAAGATTACAGATAATAAAGAAACAAGAAAAGGTACCTTGTAAATACCTGCATATTTTTTAAAACACAACTATTAACACATTAAGAGGGAACTAAAAAGTTAATGCCTAT